TCAACGCCTAACACGCGTCGCCGGGTAGTCTATTCCCGTGAGAAAGACGAAGTCTACGTATTCAATATCGTAGCACTAAAAGGGTTAACTCTTTTAGCTTAAACGTCACATAGGAGCGGAATTAAACAATCCGCATGCTAGCCCGACTCATCCTGCAGCCCCAACATTCGGGACCGCGATGCTCCAATACCTTAAGAGCTTAAACTGTGTATACTCCAACAAACGTACGAGTATAAGCTGTGTTAATGGCGATTCGAAACCCTAGAGTCAACGCCGGCCAACGCGTAACCCTAGGTCAACGCCAGTCAACGCGTTGCAATCAAAGTCAACGTTCGACGATTCAAAACCCTAGGGTGGACGCCGGTCAACGCGTAGCCCTAGGTCAACGCCAAGCAACGCGTTGCAAACGAAAGTCAACGTTCGACAATCCGAAACCCTAGGGTGGACGCCGGTCAACACATAACCCTAGGTCAACGCCGGTCAACGCGTTGCGATAAAAAGCCAACACACGGGGATCCGAAACCCTAAGCCAGCACAATGTGGCGGAGGTAGTTCAAAGTCAACTCAATGACACGAGCCAAACTCAATTCATCAGCTGCACACTCGAGACTCCGACGACGGCCAAGCGATAAACGCAGCGCTGGAAGAACTTCGGATATTCGTCAAAGCATCGAATAGACCGAAAATCGAAAGGGTCAAGAGTTGAAGCTAACTACGCCGACTGAAGGCCAGATCAATCACATCCAAAGTATAGCTACGTGAGCTTATAGGATTTCGGAACAACGAAGACCCGGACCAATCGGGAACCCGGCACTGTTCACAAAAAGGACAACGCCCCTCGTGCCTCGACCACTCTACAGATAATCCAACCGCCAGAGCGGATCGAATTCTTCGTCAAGCATCCGACGCACCCGGAATCACTCAAATCCGAGTTCGGACGAAGAATCTACAGGGAAGACAACGAAATACACCTAAACTGAGTCCCGACAAGTCGAAATACCCCGGGGGTGTCTAGGAAAAGCCTAGACACCCTAGGGGTGTGTGTCTCGGAAATTCCGAGACACCCTAGGGGTGTCTCGGATTTGTGGAGACACCCCAGGGGTGTCTCAGATCTGTGGAGACACCCCAGGGGTGTCTAGCCCCCCTACATGTCCTCATATGCCTATAAATAGACCCCTGGACCTTGCTTTTGGAGGGAGGATTTTTGGAGACCCTTGGCGAAGCCCTGCTGCAGTGAAGAGTGGTCGTGCGCTTCAACAAGGAGAGGAGAGGTCCACGTCAGAGCCTTCATCACCCGTCCGATCCTTAGTATTAGCCCTTGGCGTTAATACTAAGAAGAGCTAATATCTGACGAAGCTCTGCCCGATTTTCTCGGAGCGGATCTGATTGCCCGGTGGTCCACGGATATCAACGTCCCCGTCACAGGCCAAAGACCCACGCAAGCAAGAGATGATAAACGGATCTTGCGTTTGTTTGAAAAGAGTTGTATTTTTTTTTGTTTTCATTGTGTAAGGGTCTTATAAAAAGGCTATCTTTTTGTTTCATTGTAACGATTGAAGTTGTAATGAATGCAGCAATGAATACAGCAACTTTTTCCGCAAACAATATTCTTTATGGTGAGCAAATTCTTAAAGAACAATCCTGAAGATTGGGCCCTGAAGGTCTATTATCATAATTTGCCTCTTTTCGCTAAGTTTTGTTCCACTGGGTTTTTCTTAGCATAAAGTCAGAATATTGTCATCATCAAGGGGAGCGAATTTTCAACGTAATCCCGAAGATTATGCCTTGAAGGACTATAGTTGTACTCTTTTTTCCTTTTTGCTAAGTTTTGTCCCACAAGGTTTTCTTAACTAAAGGTTGAGGCAACTAATGCAACACAAGTTTGGATCCCGAAGATCTATAGTTGTACTCTTTTTCCCTTTACTAAGTTTTGTCCCACAGGGTTTTCTTAGTTAAAGGTTTTTAATGAGGCAACTAATGCAACAAGAATCTACTAATGTCGTGTACTCTTTTCCTCGACTAGTTTTTATCCCACTGGGTTTTTCTAGCGAGGTTTTTAACGAGGCATTGACATCATGTAGTAATGTCCAAGGGGGAGTGTTGTAAATATAAATACAATGAATGTGGACATTACTAGAAGAAGACTCTTCACCTACTTGTGACTTTTAGTATTCTCTTCCACATCTATATATTGTAATCCATGGAAGACAAAATGTACGTAGGAATGGAGAAATGAGGATGAATAAAATGAGATGATCACTTTCTCCCTATCTCTTCTTTTGTCTATTTACATTTACATTTCATGTTTGATTCTTACTTTTGATATGTGATGTATGTAGATACAACAACGAGATTACAACAAAAAAAAAGTTTTCAAACTTCACGGGATTGACAATTCCATGAAGTTAAACTATGCATTAAACTCTCCGGTATTCTCAATCCATAGAGTTTAAGAATTTTCCTTTTCAAAATCAACCTAGTTTCCAAAATATTTAATAAAATTGACCTAGTTTTAGTTAATGTGGCAGAAAATATGTCTATTTTGATAAATTTTTTGGGACTAGGTTTATTTTGATTAATTTTTTGGGAATATGTCTAATCAAAATTTTGTCCTCATTTTTTCCCTACTCAAGATGAGAGAGCATTCTTGCTGATTTTTTTTTTTGAAGTGTAAGGGCATTTAGAATTAATTTTTTTTAAATGTGAGGGTATTTTCAAAATTCTTAAAGTGTAGCTTACAATGACCAAAAGAGGATTTTCTTTATATTAGTAATAAGCCCACACATTGCTGTCAGTATTATTTATTGAGGTATGTTTGTCGCTAAATTGATAAAATGATTTTTATATATATAACTATTTTTAAAAATTTCAACGATAATTTTTTTACTATTATTTACAAAGTAAATCTCCAAACCAGCTAACAAAATAAAATACCAACTATAGTAAGTTTTATTATATTCTATGATAGAGTCAAAAATATATTTATACTTATGAAATATTTGACAAAGATTAAATTCATCATCTGTAAGACCAAAAAAAGGAGATATAAATAGTATTTTGAAAGTTAAAAATGTTACTTCAGCTTAAACAGTGGATAAAAGGTAAAAAATTGTTATAGCATACCAAGTGTGATTGAAATTAAAAAATACATTGTAGCATGAATAGTAAATTTAATGTTCTGCAGCAAGAATTGCGTTTGCTGTAGTGTGAATAGTACTTTTGAGGTTTTGTGTGTGAGTGATTTCCACATGACTTACTCACATGTCGACTATTTTTAGACATAGAATCCAATTTCCGTTGCCACTCTCGCAGCCGCCATTACTTGTAGCGGCCATCCGCCACCTCGCGGCCTACCACAATTGCAGCTCTCTTTTTTTTCTTTTTCTTTTTCTTGATTCTTATAATGTCGATCTTCAATCTTATACGATGTCTATCTTACAAACTCGCTCCCATATTTATCACTATTGGTCTGATACCACTTGTTGGGGATTTTAATCCCAGTCTACTATGGTATGTGCAAATCAAAAGCCAACTAACAATCTATAAGATAAAAAACAACCACAATCAAGAAAAAAGAACACTAATATTTACGTGGTTTGGTCGATCAGCTTTGACCTACATTCACAAAGTAACAACACAAGAAATCTATTATGCATCAGGAAGAATTACAAGAGGAACCTCTCAACTTTTGTCTCTCAATCTTTTAACCTCACATATATAATCAACTTTTATATTCTCTCTAAAACCATCTCCTTACAATCTTTTGGAGAGACAAACACTGTGAAACTCTCTCTCTCTCTCAATATTGTAATCTTTTGCATGGATAAAAACTACGAAACCCTTACCGATATTGTAATCTTTTGCATGGATAAAAACTGCAAAACACTCACCTCTCGCACAATATTCTAAGAAGAAACTCTGTTCTCTTTAGTTTTTCTTCCAACAATAGAAGACTATATATAGAGAAATTAAAGCTCTATCTCTAGCCTAACTTTCTTCTTAGAATATGATACAAACTCCTAATCATGATGATGCCCAATTTTCTAATCATGATAGACCTCTAATCTTTTCTAATTCTTATGAAGTTATATAAAGAATTAAAGACACAATCCTAACAAGTCATACAGATAAGCTGACTTTATTCTACTACTAACAAACATAAGTAGTTTGGATACTAAGTAAATAATCCTACTTTGCAAATAGGACCTGAAAACAAAGATGCAAGATTAATAAAATTTAGTTAATTCGGAGTTAATTCAATAGTTTTTTAAACATAAAGGTACCGTTTGGCAAAGGGTTAAGTGAGGGGTTAAGGAGACTTAACCCCTTCTTAAACCGCCAAACACAAAATATCTATATAATGGTTAAAGTGAGTTAACCCTCTATAATTTGCCAAACATAAAAAATATAGAAGAGTTAAACTAACCCCTCTAGAGAGATTAAAATAAGTTAACCGCTCAAAATGAGGTGTTTACTAATACTCCTATTTAGAATGATTATGAGTTAACCCTTCTAATTATAAAAAAATAGTCAAAATCACTGTTATTCTCAAACACTAAAACTGATCACAAGGGCTAAAATAAAATTTATTTAACGGATTAATAATTTAGTTCTTCGGATTATCGAATGAGCTAAGTACATTAAACTTTCTATTTAACCCCTCTTCCTTAACCCTTTGCCAAACAGGGCCAAAGGGAGTTACTTAAGAGAGCTTGCAGATTTGGGGGCTTATCTAAATATATGAGATTTGGAAGGACTTAGTTATAATATGCGAGCTAGATTTTGGGGCACTTAATTTAAAGCTTTAAAGGTCGATTTGGGGGACCAATTAGTAAGAGTTGAATGGGCCGGGCTGTAGCATTTGTCCTTTATTTAAGGCACAAATCCGTAACAGTTGGATGGGCCGGGCCGTAGCATTTGCCGTTTAATTAAGGGGGCAAAAAGAAAATCTGAAGTCGGTGCGCTGCGCCTCAAGACCATCATATCTTAAAACTCACCCTCCTCCCTTCTAATTCTCAGTCACCCCTCTCGATCCCATTCTGAGGCGATACTAAATAGAAGGATCCAAACCTGAGCGCCGGTGTGCTGATGATGGAGAATAATAAGGAGCAGAGCCAAGCGCAGAGGCAAGGTAAGTTGTGCCGGCGGTGCAAGTTAAGCTACGACCCCTCCTCGAACACGCGCTCATCCTGTAGGTTTCACCCTTCGTTCTTCGTCTGTCGCAGGCACGATGACCAGAAAAGGTATTAATTAAAACTCTCTTGATTAATTTCTTTTTTATTTTATACTTTATTTTTTAAAAAAAAATTCTCTATAAGGGCTTTTATGCTGTAAATTTTGATCCTTGGACAATTGAGGCAATCAGTTGAGTTAATGTCACTTTTGATTGTTTGAATTGTATTATTATTTTGATTTCCAAATTGATCAATGAACCTCTCTCTAAGTTTTTTCCAATCTAGGTATGACTTGTATGCCTCCAGAGTAGCGGCGGAGCCAGAATTTTTTTTCCCTAATAAAAAAAAGTAGGTGAAAGAAGAACCCCAAATAAAAGTTTTACAAGAATTTTTTTCCCATAAATTCTTAAATCATTTCAACGTATACGCCCCCTCATTGAATCATCATGCTTTAATTTTGTAAAGTTCTTTTTAATAAAATGTAGTAATTGTAGTTGGTTTTTCTATAATCACAAACCACAAATTAATGACCTGAAAAATTGACAATATACTATAAATTACCATTAAACATATTACATACAGTAACAATAAAAAATGAAGCAATTTTAAGTATTACATTTACGTAAAATAGTTGCAGAAGTACATGGGCATAGAAAAATTATTTCACATCTCTACTTCTTAATTTAAAATTTTATGAAATTGGAAGAATACAATTTCACAAGTTCATCACAAACTGTAAACCCATATAAAAATATAGACCCCATTTCACAATTCTACTATTAAGTGCGATATTATATGAACATTGAACCCTCATGTTCTTATTAAATACAAAGAAAAATACATGAAAATAGGGCCTATGTATTTTACTCAAATCTGCTGATTTTGAACTTGAATTTGGAGATTTTAATGTTGATTTTGGTTGTTTGGTAGTTACTCGTCTCTAGTTAACCACTACACAATAATGATTAACAATTTAGGTCATAAATATAACAAATGGACTAGTCAAATGTTTCAAGTATTTGGAGGACTATTTCAAATCTTAATATGAAAGATTTAGGGGACTTATTCAAATATAAAAGATTGGGGAGACTAATTTCAAGTATAAAGGATTTGTGGGATTAATTTCGAATATGAAAGATGTGGGGAACTAATATGGAAAAAAACTCGTATGTATACATGGTATCTTTGGCAAAAGCTGGGGGGCCATGGCCACCCCTGGCCCCCTTGGCTCCGCCATTGTTCTAAAATGGATTTGTGTACTTCTCATATTTTTCACCCGCGTCACCTCGTCTCTATCTTCTAAGCACAAAGCAGTAGTATCTAAGTTGATTTGTGGGTATTTCTCTAGTCTTTCCATCATGATGCTTAATATTTCGCTAGAGAGGAAGATAGAATTATAGAAGAAACAACATTCAATACTTTTAGCCTTAGCCCTTAGGTTTGGATACATGTTATATAACTGGAGGATGACATGATGTTACATTAGCATATGTTCGGTTAGGTTTAGGGTCAATAATATACTGAAGGAAAATAAGAGTTGACATGAGAGATGAAATGTGGGCATAAATTCTCGTAAACTTATTATACCTCTAGTTTAAATTGGATTTGATGTAAATTTTGGATTACAAGTTGATTTGAGTTCAGATAAGCATTACCAAAAATTTTGTTTACTAATCACTAATCATTAATAACATAAAGATAATGGGGGCCATTTGAAAAGTGGAGGTGCAAGAGGCTTCAATGACGTGCTGGCATTGTATATTATTCTGCCTATTGAACCAGTTCTCGCCGTCACCATCATGTGAGAAATTATCTTGTTAACATCTTGTAAGAAACTTGTTCGAATTTTCAATCACATAATAAGTAGATGAGCCCTGATCCCATTGCTCTGATGACAGGATGTGTGGCCCTCACATATAAGGAGTAGATGTAGGTAGTTTTATGTACATATACAGGGGCACAAGTGATTTTCATGCAACGTAGATACAAATTGGACGTGCATGTTTGTATCAGGATGTGTGTCATGGATAATCTTGCAAACCAAATCAGACACAAGGTTCTGGTGAAGGTTTCATATAAGTGTGGAAAGTCGGTTATTTACATTTGTTCAATTTCTACATGTGTCCTATTAAAATCAGGTGTGCTGAGAGTTTGGCATAAACTTGATTACAAGAGATGCCATATATGACAATGATTAGATTCCTTTGATTACTGCTTTTGTCCGCTTCGTGTTTATGTAAATGACAATTTTATAGTGAACTTAATGTTGCAAAACATAGATCAAGACTTTCGTTCATAAGTATATGCTTTTGCAACTCCTGGATTTTACAGAGACATCAGCAAACGTGTTCCATGCTGTGCATGTCGGTATATGGAGTGACAAGCGAAGTCTGTATAAAATGCTTTCATTTTCAAGTACATGCGCATGTAATCCTTAGAAACGAAGCAAGGAGCTCGACTGATCATTTATACTTCTCTCCTTAACATTTTATTTTGTTTTCTCTCATTAGGTATTATGAACTTGGACCAAATGATCCACCTTATGCTGCCAAGTTCTATGATTGTTGTGGCGCCGAGAACCCTAACGCAATTGGATGCACCACCGACGTCCATGTCTCATATGACGATGACTAAGCTTTCTAAGTCTAAAACATCTTGTAAATTTGGCAGAAATATGACGTCTACATGTAAACTATGAAATCTACGCGGTACTTGATATATGTTCCAATTGAGCTCAAATAACCTAGGGAAAAATAATGTAATACAAACACTCT